CCCTTTCCCTTTCCCTTTCCCTTTCCCGTTCATATAAATGTCCTGGAGACCTAGACTGATTCAGGATGATTTTCCAGGGCTACTCTGCTGTCCATCAACATATTAAACCTAATCTAATTAACAAAACTCCAACTGCCTGTGTTACCAGCCAAGGCAGAGAAGCAAATCCTATGCCCAAGTCCTTTAAAGGCTCTTTCTTTGTGGCAGTTTATTAAAGAAGACAAAGGACATATCAAAATTTGAATAAAGTTTAAATCTTGGGGTAGAGCTTGCTCTTTGGCCTTCAAGGTTAGAGGCACACCACAATTTATGTCTGTGTAGCTGGACTTTCTTCCCCAACAAACATGGACTTGCTCACAGTGTGTACTGGAAAAAGTCCCTGCTCCATAGAATCCCACAGTTGGTTCAGGAATTGCCTGGGAAAGTGCTACTTGGATCAGGCTAAAACTGTGCCAGGAAAAGGGCAATCAATTAAATATACACAGGCAACTCTACGTCATTTCTTAAGCCTATGTCCTGGTCCTGGTTAGTAGTTAGCATCTGAGGCCATCTCAGGTCACAGTCCCCAGCAGAGTTCCCAGACTGTCGGAGGTACAATGGTGCAGCCCTTCCCCAAAACTTCTTGCCTCTTCTTCTACTCTAGGCATGTTAAATGGATTTATGATAGGCAGAATCATTAAGCGTTCCCAAGTTGCTGTACGATCTTACTACAAATGCAGTCTTGCATTTTGAAACAAATCAAGATATTCGCTCACTGTTTTGCCATGAACGAACCCAGATGAGCCCTGAAAAGAAATCCTTCCCTTAACATAAGCTTTAACATAAGTTAAATTTTCAACATCCTTCTAATTCCTCAACAATGCATGTTATGCCTATTCAGTACAGAATAAATGTGAGCAAAAAAGACATTGTTTTTGTTAGCAGATTCAGCCGTCTTAATTCACCCTTTGAGTAATACTTCTGGCATATTTTCTGATTTTCATCATAAATTCTAGAGCTAAGTGTAACTCTGTCCTTCGACATTTTTCCTTACTTGACAAGTATTTGTTCCATCTTTTCCTTAATTTTTAGAACATCTACTAACGTTTAAGGCCCCACATTATCCACTTCTACACTGCTGGCTTTATGTTTTGTATAAATACTTCTAGCCTCTGTTTTGAGAAATTTCCTTTACTTATATTTACTCTTTGCCTAAGAGCACCTCAATGGTTCCTCCACCTTCCCAAATCTGGGGAAATGGCATGCACAGGCAGTACCAGGCATGGCATTGCTGGAGGCAATGGAGGACAGAGCTGTCTTTGGTGTGCCATGGGACAGTCCCTGCTTTATGCAGGAGCTAAACTCATACAGATTGCTTCTAAATGTAGCTTTTGCACTTCTACACTGTGCAGTAGCACCCTCTCACAAACCCCAGAGGTCAGGGGCACTACTTTGTGTCCCACCTGGGCAGAGTTTTGTCAGAAGAAAGAGCAAATTGCTCTCACTTCCATTTCTCTGGAGGCCCAGGGCAGGAGGGAGGCAATCAGCATTTCTGAGAATCAAGTTACTTGAATTTAAGAACCTGAGTACCAACCTAGTTTCACTTGAGTGTTTGGTTTTGTAATATATTTTTTTCTAGCCTAAGTCTTATGCTAACTAGATGTGCTGTAATAAATAATATAGGATATGTTTCTGGGTTTCATTTTCTTTCTCCAGCATTGTACTATCTGTTCAGATGAAGCAATGATTTAAAAAACTCCTTTAAATTACTTAGGTCATCCATATATCTTGTGTCTCCAAGTTGTTGGTTTTTTTTTTATTTTTTAATAACCAGATTTAAGTTTCCTGATTTTATCTTTTTAAAAAAAAAAAAAAAAGGAGGAAAATATTATTGGAAAAATTTTTAATTTCATATGTTATTTTCAAAATATAATAAATGGCATGATGCTCCTGCTGCTGAATCAATGCCAACCAGTATCTGACACTTTGTTTTGTGTTTTACCTCCTCACAATGAGATCCCACATTCTCTTTTTCCTCTTCATTTACACTGAATTTTTAGTTTGGAAATATCAGATGGTTGGTCTTTTCTTCACATGTCCATTGTTCCAGTTTTATGCTTCTGAGGTAGAAATCCTTCAAGTTGTAATGAAGAATCCATACCCTTTTTCTAGTCAATCATTTTTGAGTTTTGATGGTCTCAGATATGCTAAAAGGTATACAGTTTTTTAGCAGTTCTACCAGCCAGCACTATTAATAGATCATCTCTTGTTTTCAGATTTGTTAGGTTTACTCTAACCTTTCATCACTGAGAAATCAGATTTCTATTTTATTTTTACTCTCTTTATTCAGTTTCAATGAAAATCAATATGATATTATTGTCCTTTCTTATATTTAACAAGCGAACAATGAGCAGTATTTATCACTTAGCAGAGACAAAAGAATTTCAATAGATTCTTACCTGTAATTTTGCTTTTCATTTCCTATGTGAAATCTGTCATACTGTGAATATGCCTGGTTTCCTTCCCAGTCCATTAATTCAATTCTTAGAGAATATTGCCTCTGACTTGTTATTGCAAAGATAAATTCATTTCCCAGCCAATGTTCACCTGATGGGCTACCAAAACCCTAGAAAAAAGTTGGCAAAATAACTAGATGTAATTATTGTAATTGGTAGAACCTTTATACAATAATAAAACCATCATTATATTTTACCTATACACTCTAATCACTGGTCATAGCTTTCTGTGCTCCAGTTTGACTATCTCTAAAATGAGTCTACTAATATATACCATGTAGGAATGTCATACAGTCAAGCTTTTCCATGATGATGCTTCTGTATCTCTCATCTACTGCTTTGATTGTATTCATATGCATACTTGGCTTCATATGTGCTTCCTAAAATACAAAAGCTTGTTCCTCACCTGCATAAACCCTGTCTACCGCTGACACGCCCTTCTGTAGTTTTCACTGTTTTCTGTCCCTTTGATCACTTCCATTTCCTTGCCTTGTCTCTCTGCCCTACGACTGTCATACATTGTCTCTCCTGTTCTGGCAGCTTTGGCAGTGTTGTGCCAGAGCAGTCAGTGGTTTGTCTCTGACATCCTCTTTCACCACTGTTCATTGCTACTTGTCTCAGAGGAATGGAAAATATGCCCTGCAGTGACTACCAAACAGGCAGTTTGTCTCCCTAAAATCCAGAAGGCAGAAGTTGGAGCATGGGTGTTTATATACCAGCCAAAACACATTTCTTTGCACTCTACATAGTTTCTTACTCACAGAAGATATATTCTTATTACTATCAGCTGTCTTCCTTTAAAAGAAGATTTTCAGGAAATCCTTTCTCCCTTTTTCCCAGTGCTGGCAAGCTGAGGGGACTCCTCTTTGAACTGTGGCTCTATCGAATTATATTTGTCTTATCTTATTTAGATTACAGCCTATTCAGGATGTAATACATGTGGATTTTTTAACATTGTGTGTTCCCATATGTGTTTTATATAAACTTCAGACACCATATATAATTATTCTGAAATAATAATAATTATTCTTCTTCTCATTTACACTTCCTTCTCCCTTTTCACACGTGTTATTACGCTAAGATGAAAATCTATCACTAAGTGGTTTGCTCTCCTGACCAGAGGAAACAAAGTTGCAGTGAAAGGGAACAGAGGGAATATAAAAAATTATGAGGAAAGCCACCACATTTGTTATAAAAAAATGAATCCTATTATAAGGAGCTACAATACAGAAACTCAGATTAGAAATGCCTAGACTAAGAACGATTGTTTTGTTTTTCTTGTCAGGAGCAACTTCTTTTTAAACAAACTCCTTGCTTTTATGAAAAGAAAACCAAGGAAGTAAGTGGAATATAAAACATATCTCTGAAGCAAGGAATGTTACTAAGGAGAAGTAGTGTGTTTTATGAAACACCTAATATGGCTGGAAAAAGAAACAAACAAACAAACAGGCACTCAAAGCTTTCATAAATCTAAAACAGAGAGAAGCAGTACATTTCTGTTAACCACAAAGTTGGGAACAATTTCTTCAAGTATAATTTTACTATGCCAAACTCAACTGTTTCCAACCTGTATTTAGTCTGCAGTTTACTGCCTCATTTCAGACCTGAAGAAAGACTTGCATGCTTGCTGTTTTTTCCAGATACTTTGGCTGACTTAATAACTACACAGCTTTTCTTGTTTATATCTATCTTAGACTGTTGCTGCTACAAGAACACTACTACTTTGACAAGAAATATAAGCTTTTGTATGCAGAACAGAATGACATATAATAAAAAAACCCTGAAAAATACGATTTAACTTTTCGTTTCATTCCCAGCCCTAAGGCTGGCAAAGAAAATGATTGTGACAGGTTCTTCTCGTTTGCTTTCAATATATTTAGCCTTCAAAGTACATTTCAGAATTTTATCTTCAAATACAAAATTTTTTTTTTCTTCAGCCAGAAAACTTAAGGAAACAAGCTTGTGCAATTGTTACGCCCACCTGTCCTTTATTTTAGTGCAATACTTTTTGAACACTTTTGAGGCTGGGATAGAAATCACACAAAATTGAAGTTCAACAAGGTTTCAGGGGAACTGGTGTCTGGGATGAGTTGCTGCTGGGAGAAATGCTGAAGCAGAAGCTCAGCAGTTGACTGTTCCAATAGTCTATCAGCAGTCACAGACCAGCCAGCCAAGCACAGACACTGAGGACGTATTGCCTCAGAGGACCCTTAGACATCTGGGAGAGATTTGAAGTACATAAAAGGGGAACTCAAGCTATTGCCACAGAGAACCTTAAGAAAATAATAGGCATTCAGGAGATTATTAGTAATGAGAATGGGACACAGGACAAAAATCCACAGAAAGGCAGACCTTGTTACTTTTGTTGTTCATGAGACAATTCAAAACTGTTCAGTGATGAAATCCAAGCATTTTAGTTAACCGAACATTTGTGTTTATACTGATGTTTAAATCTGTGGGGTCTCAAGTGATAAGATGCCTTTAGCCTTGTCTAAGACTATGCTTGTCATCTTCTATGGACAAGGAGTGTGATTTTGAGAATGCTTTAGGGCATGGTATTAAATCTTGAAAGTTAACACTAGGAATCACCTATTTCAAGATGCATAGCTGTAATTAAATGTGGTTGGTTTTTTTTCCCAGTACACATATACTCTGTCAACATATTAATCGATTTTTGCATTCATATTGCTATAGCAAATACTGCCAGAATTATTTCTGTTCAAGTTTTGTACTTAAACTCAATGAAGTACATGAGATGATCCAAGTCATCCTCAGCTATCAATCTATTAGGAACATCTATATTTCATGAATGTGTTTGTAGCTAACTACATTTTAAGTCCCTCTGAAACCCAGTGGGTCATAAGCACTGTTCCAAAACATAATTTACATGACTAAGAGACTTTATTTTGTCATTAGATTTCTATATTTTGTTGATTATGTGTTTCCAAGCAGAGGGATTAATTCTTTAAACTTTACATTTTATTCCAAAAATACTCATTTTGCTTTTCCCTTGAAATTTGCATAACATTTTTGGATGACTGGCAAATCAGAGGCTTTAAATTCCCTAAAGAATCCTTAATGTAACAGGGAAAGGTCAGAAATTCCCAAAAGTTTTCAGAGTTCTCCTATATTTTCCTTATTAGCATTCTATGGAAGTTGGGAGAACATAGCAGGGAAATATGCTTTCATTATCATAACACACTTTCTTAACTGTGCACTGCTAGCCACAGACAAGATACATAAATCTTTGCACTGACCTAGCACAGAATATATTGTTGTTCACAAACAGAAAACATTTAGGTTTTGCATGCTGAAAATTGCATTAACATCCTATTTTGGCAAAGTTTGATCTGAAATAAATCAGTTAAAAAGACATAAAAATCACAATTAGTAAAACAGGTTTTTTTATCAAGGAATAATTAGGAGACGTTTGTACTACATTTAGAATAGATCATTCTTGTAGACACTGTAACACTTGTTTTCAGAGTAAAGAAATGGCATAATATAGAACCTCACTGACAGTTTTAATCCCATTTATGTACTAGAATGAAGCAAAGGAGTTTTCTGGTTCTTTATGCCTATAACTACATAGTAAATTGTGTAAATTTTGACACAGTGCCCAACTGTTACGTAAAATAAATAAATAAATAGTAATTCGTTGTTCTTTTTTTATGCATTAAAGTACTTAGAACCAGGAATCACAGACAAAAGTACATGATTTTATAATATTTACTCTAGATGATATCCAGGTTCTACACCAGCTCATTTCCAATTGCATGGCGATTAACAGAGTCAAAACTATTAAAGCACTCATGAGTACAAAGAAACGGAATTCAATACTAGTTTTAAAAATGACCTTAAGAATTTACAAAGTTGATAGTTATTCAAAAATAATAAGTAGGGTGCAAAAGAGTTTTATTAGCTTTGGCAAAATCTGTGGGGGTATTCGGCTTGAATCATGTTACTCCAAGTTCATTAAACAATTATCTCTCTTACTTTATTTATTTTGTCTGATAATGCTCATAGGAAGCTTTGACTTTTTATAGACAAAACAAAATTGAAACCAGACACAGTCAATATATCCTATGGGTTCATCTTCTGTCAGATAATTCACTGAATAAAGCAGATAATAATTCAGTGTTTTACAGCAGCAGTGTCTTCCCAGAAGCCATAAAGAATGTCCATCTCCTTTTGCCTTAGCTGAGAATGTGGAAAGGATTCTGTTTAAGCAGATAATTTCTAAAAAGGTCAGTATAGTTCTTCATTTCCATCACATTATTTATTGCATTATATGAAATAAAGATGTGATCTATAGAAATTACTTCAATTTCCTCAGAGAACAAATATTATGTTAAAAAATTGTTAACTTAAAAGAATATGGGAAAATAATGCTAAATATTCAGAATTATTTCTATGAAATAATAACAAATATTTGGTGGCAATTAAAAAAAAAAACACTTTAGATTGAAGCCAGAGATACCTTCTCAAAAACTAAAACAAAAACTAAGTTATTGTCAGTTTAAATAAAGAACTAAATGTCTGTATAATCATTCCAAGTTTGAAAAGTGTGTCTCAAATTCTTGTTTATATCCTGCAGCAATTCAGGCTCTTGCACTTCATTCTAGATCAAATATGTTAGTAGACATACAGAAGTTAGGTTCACTTTTTCCTTTTTCCTTCTCAAACACAGACAGTATAAGTAGTAGCAGACTTCCTGATAAGGAAGAATAACCACAGTGACAGGATCCAGGTTTGAGGTGCAAGCCTTACATAAACATTACCTCTGGATGGGCAACGGGCCCCAAAGAGCTCCATTTCCTACAGTGACCTGTATGCAACAGCCAGTGCATCTTCCTGGATTTCATCTAACTTCCTTACTGTTTAACTAAAACCAGGAGAGCATTTCCTACTGAGAAAAAGTACCTTGAGACCCTTTCTCCTAAAAGACCTTCTTCACTCTAGGACAAGTAGATCTTGGGAATATAGAGACACTTACTGCAGCTCCTAGTAAGTGCATCCGAGGGAGATCAATATGTTTTAAAGAAAAGAAAACTCAGTTTTTGTACTCTAAGAAAGATGATTTGGGAGCTTAAGAGAACTTTCTGGTTCG